CTGTCTAAATCTACAGTGCTAGTTCACATTAATGGAGTGCCGATGTAGGCGCTTATAGACACTGGTAGCTGCTACCTATCATCAGATATTCCGGCGAAACACAACTGGCCTGTGGATCCTTCTAAAAGCACCATATCCATGGCTTCGACGCGCCTATCTTGTATCACTTCTGGACATGTTTACGCCTCTGTACACTATAAAAACAATCACTATGATGGAATTAAACTTTCCCTTTTAAACAATCTGTGTACGGATGTAATTTTGGGCCACGATTTACTCAGTCAACATAAAAACAGTGATTCCCTTTCACGGACATCGACCATCTCTCTCCCTATGTGCTCTCAAGGCTGTATACGTCGATGCTCCTCCCCTATTCAGGCATTTGTCGCCCAATTGTGTTCCCATCGCCACCAAATCACGCCGTCACTCTGCCTCGAAATCCGAAAATTATTGATCGACCATATTATCGAGCCTTCGGACTCACCCTGGCGAGCGCAAGTCCTTGTGACTACAAATGAGAGACACAAGAAACGCATGGTTGTCGACTACAGCCAAACAATAAATCGATTCAATCATCTTGATGCATACCCCCTCCCAAAGGTTGATGAACTAGTAGAGAAAGTGTCTCACTACTCTCTCTTCAGTACCTTCGATCTTCAAAGTGCTTACTACCAAATCCCCATCTGCGAAGAAGATAAACCTTATACAGCCTTTGAGGCATGAGGTAAGTTGTATCAATTCCGCCGCCTTCTATTCGGAGGGACGAACGGAGTGGCCTGCTTCCAACGCGGGTACCGTCCCGGTGACCAAAATAAAGCGGCTGATACACTCTCCCGGAACAACTGTCTCTGCTATGTCACGCACTGACTTGAAACATTTACGTAATACACTCTCACCCCGGTATTACACGAATGTTACATTTTTTGCGTTCTAAAAATCTACCATTCTCACTCGACGACATCAAAGCCGTCAATAGTCAGTTTGCAACGTGTGCTGAACTTAAGCCCCGCTTTCTCAAACGACATTTGGTAAAACTCGTTAAAGCGACGCAACCATTTGAACGAATCAAGGGTTCACTTCCAACCATATCCCATAACAAATACCTCTTGACGATGATTGATGAACATCCACGTTTTCCCTTTGCTTTCGCCTGTTCGTATGTTTCTTCGTCGACCGTCATCAAGTGTCTCAATCAATCATTTTCACCGTTTGGGTTACCTTCATACATCCATTCCGATTGCGGAGCATCCTTCGTGTCTGATGAGTTGCGAAATTTCCTTCATGCTAAAGGAATCTCCACCAGTCGAACTACCCCATATAATCCGCGCGGTAACGGATAGGTAGAACGATTAAACGGCATTTTGGGGAATGCTGAGGTCTCAACAACTGGACGTCTCCCAGTGGGAAAGTGTACTTATGGATGCCCTGCATTCTGTCTGTTCTCTACTATGTACTGCCACGAACGAGACACATCACGAAAGATTCCTTAAGTTCAACCGCAGGTCCACCACTGGTATTTCCCTTCCAACGTGGTTATCGAATCCAGATCGTTTGGCTCAAAAAATTGGCACGTTCCTCGAAATACGACCTTTGGTGGAAGAGGTAGAGCTCTTAGATTCCAACCTTCAGTACGCATGCATCCGTTTCCTTAATAGCAAAGAGGAAACTGTTTCCATAAGACAACTTGCTCCCAAAACAACTGACACGGACAACTCTTATTCGGATCAAACGAACCAACATATTAACACTGACGACCACTGGCAGTCGTATCCCGAGGCCAACTCTTCACAACTAGAAACCGCGCCTTCACAGCTCCTGTCCAAGACCCTCCAACCGGAGTTGGCTACTTAGCCAGATCTACAGGACAAACTGCAACAGCACATTGAAAAACAACGACGTGTTCACCCGTACAACTTGCGGAACAGATAAGCTTAAAATGAATCTCCAAGCGCCACTGGTTTTCTGTCCTGCGGGGGAGAATGTCATAAACTGATGCGTTACCCTATTTCACATGGAACTTTATCAACTCTTTCTTTCTTCTTACATTGTAGCTTTTGTACTACGATTGTTAGAAGATTAAAGCCTATATACGGCCAGACTCCTCTTCTGCATTAGTCCGCATCTCTCGAATATAACAATTTGTATACTCAATAAATAGAAAGTAACACATTTAAAAGACTCACTCGACCAGAGTACAGTGATCTCAGTTAACGTACTATTGGGGAATTCTTTTTCAAAGAAGGGAATCCATCGGCGCATCGCGGTCAACTGAGTTGGAGGTTCCTTTCAGGTCAGGGAACACAACGATCGTTGGGCGACGGTGGGTGGGACGCAGCTCCAGGACCTGACGCAACGTAAAAATCCTATCAGTACATCTAAAGCCAGGCTGGAATCAGGCTTACTGTTCACGGATGTTGGTCTCTCTTATAGGAGTAAGACATCGATCTGTGGAGGCTAGCGATTCGGTGACGATGGGGATCATACATATCCCGCGGTGGTTTTCGCAATCGTTGCGAGATTCTTCCTTGAAAATGGGAAGGATCAGTGATTCGCCCCAAGCTGAAGGAATGCGCTGTTGCGTCTCAAGGTTGTGAAGTAGGGAAGTAGCAGAGCTTAAGAGATTATCATCTCCCCTTGAAAAGTGGGAATGAGCTCATCCGGTCCTGCTGCCTTTCCTCGCTTCAGAGCTAGAATGCAAGACCGAACTTCTACTTCTGGCGGAGGATCGCACTTTATTGTGGATACAAAAGGTGAGAACTTGGCATTTGATTATCTCATTGCCATTTAATTGAGCTACATGCGGGAGTTGCTCCCTTCTCAAGTCCACTCACTTATATTCCTCTCACCTTGCAGTCGTCGGGAGTTTTGCCCCTCGGATA